GCTCTTCCGCGCCAGGATTGTTGGGGGTTTCTTCGGTAGGCGTCGATGGGGAGGCCTCGGGCGTTTGTTCCGTCTCCATCGGCGTCGGCATTGGATCTAACGCAGGCTCTTCCTGCGGTTGCGGTTCAGCTTCGACCGGCTGCGTTTCTTCTTCGGCTGGTTTCGTTTCCTCTTCCGGCGGTTCGAACTGAGCGACTTGCGTTGGTTCGACTTCTTCCGGAGCTGGCGTCGGCGAAGCATTGCTGCCTGAGAAAACGGCGTAGCCAATAATGGCGAACGTGGTCACCGCCATAACGGCCGTTCCACCAATCAACGCCACGTTGCGCCACTTGCCAACGGAAGCACTGTCGGCGAATCTTCCAGACTCGATGGGAGGCGTTGTTGCCGAAGCGGCTTCGGATGGCGTTGCGACAGCTGCATCTTCAGCCGGCGAGTCGTCCAACATTTCGTCGAGCTGATCAAACGCCCCATCGGATGATGTCGCAGCGGCATCGGACGCAGGAACTTCAGGTTCCGTGCTCGACTCGGGTGAGGTGACGGCCCTAGGCGGTGTTTCTGCCGGAGGCGTCGGTTCTGGCTTGACGACAGGAGCGACGGGTGCGACCTCTTTCGCCTTCTTTTCCGACGGTGCCGGGGCCGAATCGGGATCGGCGATCTCGAGCATGCTGCCACACTTGGGACAGTTCACGATCTGACCGATCAGCGAGCGGCTGTTCACTTTCAAGCGAGCAGAACAAGTCTGGCATTGAACTCGAAATAATGTCACGAGGAGTCTCTCAACGGAAAGCGGCTATTGAATTTTGAACACGTCCGGCAACGTGTAGTTGTTCGTCTCCGCCGCCTTGCGGGTCGTTACCACCACCTTCTTTGCATCTTCAGGACCATCCATGGGGTGAATCACGTAAATTAGTTTCTGGACTTCGGTGTTCGGACCAGGCGAAGCCTCAGGGTTCGCACGCACCAAAAGCTGAGCCAAGATCTCCCCGGCTGGTTTGTTTTCGTGCGTAAAGTCTTTGATCTCTTTGTTGCGCGTGATGCCGTCCAACTGCAGGTCACCACCCTTGATCTCAATCGGAACGCCTGCTTCTTCACCAATGTCACGCAGAGCGAACTCCAGCGAGTTTTGCGGGAAGGAGATACTCATCTTCGAGGCCAACTTTTCTTCGATGGTCTCCGGTTCTTTCGCGGCTGGCATAC